TCACAGCCATATTTAATTAAGGAGGCCTGGGATATTAGGCCAGAAACTCAAACAAGGGTGAAGCCTTGTTTTAAAAGCTAGGGCACAGATGGGAAAGAAGCTGCAATTCAGAAACTAATAGAACAAGGAGAATGCCCCAATGCCAAAGCCTCAACAGTAGAAATTTGAAATGATGGAACCTGAGGCAGGCCTCTTGAGTACTTCTTATATCAAGCCTTAGTTGCCCTGGAAACTGGAGTTGGACAGAGTCCTTGGAGTAGATGGGTGGAGCCACCTGTGAGAAAACAAGGGCAGGTAGAGGCTGATCCTGTCCACTCTTGGTTTCAACTACTATTACTGGCTGAAGATTTTCACATCTATATTTTCAGCCCTGACTTCTCCTTCAGGATTTATACTAGTTATACAATTTCCTGCTGCTTTTCCTGTAGGGACTTCAAAGTCAACAAGCACAAAACTGAACTTTTAAAAACCTTAAACCTGCTCCTGCATGAACGATCTCAATTGCTGACACTACTGTTCAACCACACATTGGAATCTAGAAACCCAACATCCTTGCTTTCTTCTCCCTCTCTTCCCTGACACATCCAATGAACGCCTTAAATTGGTTATTTTTAGTCCATCTCTAGAATCACTATCTAGCTTAAGATCCTTGCCAACTCTTCACCTGAACTAATGGTATCTTTTGATTAGTCTTATTCTGAAACACAGGGTGGTGTGCTTGGAGCCGGCTTGCACCAGCTGGCAAGAAGAGGTTGACTGATTCTCTTCCCAACTCTGTGTTCTATGATGTCGTATTGGTAGATTGAAACTGTCCACAATGGGAATATTTACACCAGAAAAACTGGCAAACACCACAAAACAGGATCTTTTTTCCTCCCCTGTGGAGAGCTGGTTGTTAAACATTTATGAGCATGATTACCGCTGCCCATTTCCCACACTGTGGCCAAACTAATCAACTAGGCCACTCTCCTGATTAAAACCCTTCAGTGGTTCCCCGTGGTCAACAGATAACATAAATTCCTTGGCATGACATATGGGGCCTTTTATCGTTTGGTCCCTGCCTAAATGTTCAATTTCCTCTCCCATATCTTTTTAGTCTCACAACTTATGTGCTAGCACGGAGGTCACAAACTGGTTCACTCAAGCCAAATTGGTCTCACATAGGTACTTTTTTTTGTCCTGCACTGTCTTTAAAATTTTTGAGCCAGCATTTATAACTTTAAGAGCTTCTACACCCACATCCATGTTTCTGGCTTCTTTTCAAAAACTGACAACACTGCTTCTCACTCGTGTCTATGACAATTTACAGGAACTGAGTAGTAGCTGCCCCGTTCGAGAGGGTCTCTGCAGTTTACCAGTTTCTACCATTCACTCACCCAAATCATGCATATACACCTACACCTGGTCCTCATTTCTGTTACCTGTTTGGCCTGTATTTTAGACCATGTCATAAAATCTAGATTATTATCAGAATCTTCTGACCCTCATTATAGAACTTTCTCTTCCTTCACTTTGGCTGCCCTGATGATAGTCCATGGTCTCTGCACAGCCTGGGAAGGGAAAAAAACCAGCAAGATGATGAGGGAGGACAAAGCAAAGGGGGTAAAAGGAATATAAAGAAACCTGTAGTCTATGGATCAGTCCCCACTTTGAAGCAATAGCATTGTGAAAAAGGCAAAAATCTTCCAAGTTTGTGAGACTTCACAGTAGTTCCCTGCAGAGCTAATCATCTAACCCTTCTTGGAGTCATGGGATGCCTGCCTTCTCAGCTGGACATGGGAAGGAGAGGTCCAAGGAAGTTAGCTTATATTGATCCAAATTGTGGGAGTCAGATTTGTAAACAATAGAGTCAATTTCTCTTTTCTTTTCTTTTCTTTACTTTTTTTTAGTAGAGATAGAGTCTCACTCTGTTGTCCAGGCTGGATGGAGTGCAGTAGCAAAATCACGGCTCACTGTAGCCTAGAACTTCCTTGCTCAAGCACTCCTCCTGCCTCAATCTCTCTACTAGCTGGAACTACACGTGCTTGCCACCAAGCCTATCTAATATGTTTTTGTTTTATTTTTTAAAGACAGGGTCTCACTATGTTGCCCAGGCTGGTGTTGAACCCCTGGGCTCAAGTGATCCTCCCACGTTGGTCTCCCAAAGTGCTGGGATTAGAGGTGTGAACCACCATGGCTGGCCATGAGAGCCAATTTCTTAATGTGAAAATAGGAAATTTAATATATTTTTGCTGAGTGTCTGCTGTGTGTCTAGCACTGTGCTAGATACCATAGGGGAAACAAGAGCAGACCAGGACAACTGTGCCTTCAAAGAGCACATAACCTTATCAAGAAGGCAAAAAGTACATGTGTGAAGTAATTTGGAAATAATGTTAGACAGCATCAGAAAAGTCATTTACTTGCATGTAACCTTGTGCCCACAATATTTAAGTGGGCAGCAAGAGATAAGCTCAAAGTTAGGAGGAGGAGCTGTTGAAGAAACCAGAGCTTGCAGTGACCCTTGAGTGGCAGAAAAATGGTGCGAGAGACCATTCCACACAGGGGATCCACAAGGATATACACACAGAAAGCAACATGTGAGTGGCAACACTGACAGGAGGAGAAAATGCAGTCTGGGTGGGAGGGCAAGACTGGTCACTGCCGACTGGTTTTCTTTTTAAAAGGTTTCCTCTCTGGTGTTAGGTACTCAGGAAGCCAAATGGGGAATCATAAAGTTCCTTGTCAGACAATATAGTTGGATCGTTTCAGAAAGCATTTCATATTCTAGGCATAGACAACAACACCCTTTTGGCTCTATCATACAAGTGGAGCTAAACAGTATTCACAGGTAAGCTGAGCTCATCTCAGGACAGGACTGGCAGCAGCAACATGGAAGAAAAGGAAGGACAAGAGTAAGAAAAGTACAAAGAATAAGGAAGAGGGGAAGAGAGAGAGAGACAGGGAATGAGGAAGGAGGAATAGCATGGTAGGAAGCCAACCCATACCCACAATCTAACCCAGGGAATCCTGTGCTACAGGTTAGCCTCTCTTCCCCTCAACACCTTTAGATCCTGATGGAGATTGAGGAAGACTTCTGCCCAGAGAAAGGGTAGATTTCCCAGACCTGAGCTCTCTTTTTCCTGGGCAGACTGTGACAAATTTCTCACTTCCCCATCTCTCCCAACTCTAGGCTTTATACCGATAGTGTTTATGTTCATTTTCAGGCCCACTCAGACCTACTTCTTCCTTAGCCTGTAGGCTTATGTTAATTTCTGAGATTATTCTTTCCTATGTCCAATTTACTTTATGAGCCAGTTGCTCACTTCCGGCTGTGTTGTCTGTAGCTGCTCCCTCTAAATGTTTGACAATGTTTACCCTCTGATCCATCCTAGCAATTGATGACCATTATGCAGCCACCTTTCAACTATTAAGAGGCTGATGTAAGCACTCAGTGAAGGAAACAGGTTTCTTGCAAACTCCTCCTCCACCACCTTGCTCCTACTCTCTGTTTTCTGGCCACTTCCCTGTTTGAGAATCCTGTATGCAAGGTGGGAGGGAGGCAGTGATGTTGAAAAACAGTAATTCATCCCTTTGTCCGTTCGCCAGTAATTTCTTTTAAGAAGTTTTGAGAGTAAAAAGAAACTATTAATTAAAATACAATTTCTCCTTACATTTACATAGATTAAAAAATTAAAAACAAAAACAAAAATCCCACGATTTGGCTATTCGATGAGACTCTCAATTATCCATGGTCTGTCCTACCCAGTTAAAATGAACATTTGGAACTTTTTTTTCCTAAAGTGTAATAAAATCAATATTTCCTGGTTTTCTGGAATCTTGCCCATATTTTTAATAGTCAGCTCCACTTCTCCATAAAGCCCCTGCTGACTATTCCAGTCCTCCCATTCTCTAGCTCTAGATCTTACTCCACTTAAACTCTTCTGTGAGCCTAGCAAGCTGCCTCAGTTTCCCTACTGGACTGAGAAAAGACTGTGTCCCAAAAGAGACATTTTAAAGTTGAAAGATTTTAAATTCATTGATCAGGTTCTGCACACTCACCCAGAAGTGCTCCTGAATACCCAAAGAAGCCCCCACCTTTCACCTATAGCTGCTATTTACACCAAACATTACATCATGGACATAGCAGTTTTATCAATGGTCCTTTTGCTATCAGTAACCCTTCCTGAAGCCAAGAAGTCTTCATTCACAGACAACTTCTTCCTGACACTAATGAATTATCTTTACCTTCCTGGGACCTACAGGAAGTTGGATGAAACCTGTCTGACCTTGGTCTTTGGTCCCCTGAAGTCCCATATATATATATATATATATATATATATATATATATATATGTGTGTGTGTATAAAGTTAATGTAACAATTCGAGAGAATCTTCTCTTCAGCCCCCAGAGTTTGATTTAATGACATGGTCTTGAAGATTACTGGTTGTTGTTAACCTTTCAAATAAATATTCCTGCAGCCTCTACTCCTCATTTGGAACTGAACTACTATGTACTGTTACCAATTTTATGTAAGTTTGCTCTACCCAAGTAATTCTCCAGAAGGTCAGGAAAAAATGCCCTTTATTTCTCTGTATTCTCCAGTATGTTTCAGACAGAAATGGGTATGTTGTCATTGCATAATTGACAACTTGATTCTAGAGCTTGGCTCTAGAGTCTTGCCTGGGTTTGAATCTTGGCTGTGTTGACTAAAAACTGTGTAACCATAGGTGTGTTCTGTAACTTCTCAGTGTCTCAGTTTCTTCATATGGGAAGAATATTTACCTCACAAGGTTGTTGTGGAGATTAAGTGAGTAAAGACATGATAATGTGCTTAGAATAGTACCTGGCACACAATAAGCATTCCACAAACCTTAGCTATGAGGAAGGAGGTTTAGGAGGTCAAAAGAATTGAGACGAGAATGGAGACTTAATTCCTGATTCACCAGCATTTTATAGGTCCTATGCTTCTCTCTCCAAACTTTAATCCTGCTCTACCTTGCTTCTCATTTCTTGTACCTAGGTCCCCACTCTGATGATGGACACCCAGTTCTCTGAGTTCACACCAGACATCACTCCCATCATGCTGGCTGCCCACACCAACAACTACGAAATCATCAAATTGCTTGTGCAAAAACGGGTCACTATCCCACGGCCCCACCAGATACGCTGCAACTGTGTGGAGTGTGTGTCTAGTTCAGAGGTAGACAGCCTGCGCCACTCTCGCTCCCGACTGAACATCTATAAGGCTCTGGCAAGCCCCTCACTCATTGCCTTATCAAGTGAGGATCCCATCCTAACTGCCTTCCGCCTCGGCTGGGAGCTCAAGGAGCTCAGCAAGGTGGAGAATGAGTTCAAGGCCGAATATGAGGAGCTCTCTCAGCAGTGCAAGCTCTTTGCCAAGGACCTGCTGGACCAAGCTCGGAGCTCCCGGGAACTAGAGATCATCCTCAACCATCGAGATGACCACAGTGAAGAGCTAGACCCTCAGAAGTACCATGACCTGGCCAAGCTGAAGGTGGCAATCAAATACCACCAGAAAGAGGTAAGCTGAGTTCATCTCTGCTTTCAGGGAAGATTAAGGCCTCCCAAGTCTGGAGCAGCAGAGCAAGAATCAACATTTTTCTACCATTTAGCCCTCTAACAAACAATTGGTTGGGCAGGCCTCACAGTTATGCCCATTTATCCAAGTCACAGACAACCTTTTTGTATTTTCTTCATGGCCAGATAAATAACCATCTGATTCTTTGATGGAAAAGCATTCACGCATTTAGCAAATGCTTACTGAGCACTGTTCTGAGTGTTTGTGATACAGAAGACAGACACTGACCCTACTTTCATGGAGCTTACAAGCTGGTAGTGGATATAGAGTAAATGATCACTTTAATGAATATATGATTACATACTAAGATAAGCACTCTGAAAGAATAGTGTTCTGTGAGAGCACATAAAAAAAGATCCTATCCTATATACTGGGGACATAGTGGGCAGCGATTACAGAAGAGTCACTGTCTGGATGCTGGTAATTTTTGGCACAACTAAATCCCTGACAGCCCCTCAGAAAGAAGGCTAAGAAATGCATTTGAAAGATGGAGTCATACTCAGGGTTTGTAATTCAATAAAAAGCTGGAGCAGGATCTGCTATTGTATGACCTCCAAAATGTTAGGTTCTACCTCTTTAAGGGAGGTCAGTTCAAGCAGGTCACAGGTGAGGTTTTGCTTTCCAGTTAAGCAAGATTTACAGTCAAGCAGGTGTAGTTCTAAGCCATCTTGTCAAACAATTTGGAAAAGCCTCCTAACAAGGCTAATTTAGCCCTTTAAGAAAGTAGTATGATACCATGGAAAAAGCGGGACCGTACAAAGCAAGCTTTACAGTCAAAGCAGGTGGAGTACTATGTCATCTTATCAAATACTTTGGGAGAGTCTCCTAACAAGGCTAATTTAGCCTTAACTTTAAAGAAGCAGCATGATGCCATGGAAAAAGCAGGGACTATGGAGCTAGAGCAACCGAGGATAGAATTTTAACCCACTGGCTCTATGACCTGAAGAAACTCACTGCTATTTTCAGGGTATTAGTTTTCTCATTTATAAAATAGAAATGACAACAATTTCTCCACTTCACAGGGCTATTGTGGGAAATAAGAAAAGCTAGCATTTAGTGCATGACACCAGAAGTGCTTTAATGTCCATTTCCATCTCTTTTCCATGCTACCTGGAGTCCAAGCTGCTGAGAGGTGCTTGCCAGCTGAAGGGCAACTGGCAGCGCCATTCCTTCATGAATCCAGGCTCTGAGGCAAACCTCATTGGGTGTTAATCTGTTCACTTTTTCTCAGGCAAAAATAAAAGCATTATGCCTTAGAAATGAGGCAAAAAACGAATACCAGGCAACCTGGAATGGGTTACAAAATGAAAAAGAGCAACATGGAGATTGAAAGGGCTATATTGGGGAAGGTGGTAAATGGCTAGGCCCACCCATGAGTCCCCTTATTTTATTTTTGCCATTTACCTGTTTTAAGTTATTTCAATAAGCCTGGTATTGTGCTTACCTCCATGGAGAAATGTAAAGATCAAATAAAATAAAAGAGGTAATATAATTATGCATAGCGAAATACTGAGCATACAATAGCGGTCAATAACAATTAGCTGGGTCACGTGCGGTGGCTCACGCCTGTAACGCCACCACTTTGGGAGGCCATTCCAACATTATTGCTGTGAACATTGAAGTGGAATTTTTATTGTGGTAAGATATACCTAATATAAAATTTCCCATTTTAACCACTTGTAAGCTTACAGTTCACTGGCATTAAGTCCATTCACATCATGCAACCATCATCACTAGGGTTCATTTTTGAAGATGCACAAGTTTTGGAGTGTCTATTTTACTTTCAATAGTGTACCTATCTAAGTATAGTTTCGTATTTTGCAAGGCCACATTTTTTTAAATTTTATTTACTTATTTATTTATTTTTGAGATTGAGTCTTACTCTGTCACCCAAGTTGGAGTGCAGTGGTGCAATCTCAGCTCACTGCAACCTCCACCTCCTGGGTTCAAGCAATTTTCCTGCATCAGCCTCCATAGTAGTTGGAACTATAGGCATGCACCACCACACCCAGCCAACTTTGTATTTTTTTTTAGTAGAGATGGGGTTTCACCATGGTCCCCAGGCTGGTCTTGAACTCTTGATCTCAAGTGATCCACTCACCTTGCCCCCTCAAAGTGCTAGGATTACAGGCTTAAGCCACCGCACCCAACCTATTTTTATTATTTTTAGAGACAAGGTCTCACTATGCTGCCTAGTCTGGTTTCAAACTCCTGGCCTCAAGTGATCCTCCTGCCTCAGCCTCCCAAAGCACTGGGATTACAGATGTGAGCCACCATGCCTAGCCAGATAAATTGTTTTTAATCCGTAACACTCGCAAAGTAGCACCTCTTAACTGTTCAATATTATGAATACTCAGCAGTAATCCAAGTAATTTCAAAAGTAATCAAAGTAATTTCAAAATTCAAGTAATTTCAAAAGTAAATTACTTTTTGAAAAGTAATTTTAAAAGCACTGTATTTATGCAAAGATCAATAATTTTAAGCCTAGTGTTATTCACTGATCTTTGTGAATAAAATAAATGAAAACCATGGTATTTAGTAGACTGTGTTGTTTCAATCAGAGCACATCAAACTCTAGCTCCAAGCAATATGCAGCCAGGATAGTGAGTGACTGTCAACTTCAATATCAATAATTTCATGATAAAGAATATAATTTCGTAGAGCCACTGAAACTCAAATATGACCTAAAGTTTAGTCCCATAGCCAGAGACTTCAGAATCATTTGGGGATTTATATTTATATATTTTGCTCCAAATTTTCCAAGATAAATTATCTAGCAGGTTATACATCAATTTTAACATAATTAGTTTCTCTTCAAACTAAGCCACACTGATTAGAAGCACAGGCTCGAGAAATCATATATATCTTAAAGTTCATACTCCAAAGCCATTGCTTCAGGAATGTAAAACATAATTTATACTTATCAAACTCTATAAATCCCTTCTGAATTGTGAATACATTTCTAGAGGGAAAAAAAAAAAGCAAAACAAAACAAAAAAAAAACCTGTAATCCCTTCCAATCTGTGAATTACAGTTTTTAAAAAATATATGGTTTCATTGAGTCTCAAATGCATATAGTCTCTAATTTCTCTCTATTCAATTCACGTGTCTAATTTAAGTCTGAATAATCTCACCTTCTTAAACATATCACCAATATCCTTTCTGGGGGTGTGTTTTTGTAATTTTAACTTTAGCGTATAAATTTAGCTCAATGCTGTGAGCTACTGAGGTTCCAACAATTCAAGCGTCTGTGAGAACTTCATTCTCAAAAGTCGTTGATTTGAGGAATCAGACTGATAAGTCTGTTCAATAAATATCCAAAATCTAGTCTTTAAAAAAAAATGAAATATACACACAGTGCTTAGGACCACAAGCAGAAAAAAGTCATGATTTTGATCTTCATTTTATCACATTATATAATACACTTGATTTTTGCAGTATAAACTCTCCTCGTGTAGGAGTTGATGAAACTAGGCAAACCAACCTTTCATTTTGATGCAAATAAATGAATGAAACCTAACTTTATGCTTCCATTATTATTAGTTTTTATTTTTATTTTTATTTTTGAGACAGTTTCACCATGTCACCCAGACTGGAATGCAGTGGTGCCATCTTGGCTCACTGCAACCTCCACCTCCCAGGTTCAAACAATCCTCCCACCTCAGGCTTCCTGGAACTACAGGCATGTGCCACCATACCTGGCTAATTTTTGTAGTTTTAGGAGAGACGGGGTTTTACCATGTTGGCCAGCTGGTCTCAAACTCCTGACCTCAGGTGATCCACCTGCCTTGGCCTCCCAAAGTGCTTGGATTACAGGGATGAGCCACCACATCCGGTCTTATACTTCCATTACGTTTATGGCAAGTTATCTCAGCTTTTCCATGTTAGACAAAATTCCTCAAACTATTTGAAGGCATATAGTTTATGTTTGCTAACTTATCAAGAAAAAAACATATTAACATCTTAAGTGGGTCACACCCTAAGATCCAGTGGAACACATTTGGCCTGAGGATTACATGTCAGGAGCCCCTAAACAAGTTGGAAACTTTTTTTTAAAGGATATATATTTTTTTTCAAACAAACTTCAGACCCTAAAGAAGATTGTAGGAAAATGGACAAGAATTATTTCCCAGGACCAGAATTATTCAAAGAGAAACTGCCTCTAGATGGGGATGAAATAACTGAGCTAAAAGAGAAAAGTTGTTTTTTCCACTTGATTCCATGCTTAACAGTTGGAGCATGAAGTTCTGTCAAGGATAGGTAGGATTTCCTCAATGTCTGTAATCAGGAATACGACACAGCAGATGCACTACTTCTCCACTCTCTAGTGCCATCCCTGGTGACACCTTGCTAAATCTTCTTTTAAAGTGTGTTCTGATTCCAACTGGGGAAAAAATGAAGAAATACCCAGTACAAATGGAAATTTTCTCAATGAGTCGATGTTTGTGGGGGAGAAGCATCAAGAACTCCTGCATCTGGGATAAGGACCCAAAGATAAGCCCATTCACATCTTAAGTTTCAAACAGACAACATGTATTTTTAAAGCTTGAGCTAAAAAGCTATATTCCACACAGAACATTTTTTTTTCTCTCCATAAAATGAGCTGCAATTGGAGCTGATTTTCCAAAGCTGGAAGTTAGGGGTTTGACTACATAAAAAATTTAAAAGTTATAGCTTCAAGAAAGGCCAGTGTTCCCCCAAGTTTAAGTAAGAATAAAGGTATTAAAATGATCAGTATTTCCAGAATTTGTCACAATATAAAGGCATGTGTATTTATGTGTTTTCAACAACAGATTTTGTTAGTGACACCGTTTTGGGTTTTTGTTTTGTTTTGTTTTGTTTTTTTGACAGTATTTCACTTTGTTGCCCAGGCTGGAGTGCAGTGGCATGATCTCGGCTTACTGCAACCTCTACCTCCCAGGTTGAAGCTATTCTCAAGCCTCAGCCTCCTGAGTAGTTGGGATTACAGGTGCCCACACCACACTGGCTGATTTTTTTGTATTTTAGTAGAAATGAGGTTTCACCATGCTGCCCAAGCTGGTCTCGAACTCCTGAGCTCAGGCAATCTGCCCATCTCAGCCTCCCAAAGTGTTAGGATTACAGGAGTGAGCCACCTCGCATGGCCTGTTAATAACATCTTTGATTCGAAGAACCTGAAACACTAAAGTTGTGTTTCATAACTGTGGCCCCCTTGTTCACCTTATATGAATATTTGTGGTAACTTAAAATTTTCTTTTGAGATGGCTTCAGCATTTTTCTAGGGTCTTTAAGATGAAATTGCGACCAGGTATAAAGAGTTCAGTGATTTTCCTTAAATCGCTAAAATGCAGTTCCAATCTTCATAAGTATAATGGCAATCACTTATTTATTACCCTGAAGAGATGTGATATTGGGAACTGACAGTTTTATTTATCAATACAAATAATTCACAAATGACTTCAGGAACTAGAAGTTAATTTTTTTTCATTAGTGTTTTTCTGTTGGTTGGTTTGTGAGCTTTCTGAGGGTTAAATAGGCAGAAGAAAACCAGTTTTAAATATGGGCTGGAGGGAGTAGGATCTCTGAAAAAAGAAGTATTCCCAAGAGAAATCACTAGGTACATCTAGTCTATTAAGATAAGCCTGTCAGTACAGAAACACAATAGTCAGCTTTGATGTTAAAAAAAAAATCATAAACATTAAGTTGGATCATGGTGGCTTAATAACATTCAGAGTTACATAATCCCCTCAGGAACAAAATCTTAGCCTTAAATGGAATATAATTCATTATTTCCTGGTGGGCTTTTTCATATTGTTTTTTCCTCATTATTGTTCCTATTAGAACTCAAGTAACTCCTCAAAATAATTCAATTTCGTTATAAAAAAAAAAAAAAAAAAAAAAAACCTCCAAAGAATCAAACAAAACCTGAATCCAAACTCTAACTTTGGCATGAAATAGAATAAGAAAGCTGTAATCTCTTAGAAAACAGGTATAAAACTATTGGATAATCATTACTTGTCAAATAGACTTTCAGATATTCTCATACAGACTTTTTTTTTTGCAGTTGGGTGAATTTTCTTTTCAATTTTATTTTTAAATTCTGGGGTACATGTACAGAATGTGCAAGTTTGTTACATAGGTAAACGTGTGCCATGGTAGTTTGCTGCACTGATAAACCCATCACCTAGGTATTAAGTCCAGCATCTATTAGCTAGGAATACATTCCTGATGCTCTCTCTCCCCACCCCTGCCCCGACAGACCCCAGTGTGTGTTGCTTCCCTCCCTGTGTCCATGTATTCTCATTGTTCAGCTCCCACTTACAAGTGAGAACATGTGGCTTTTGGTTTTCTGTTCATGCATTAGCTTGCTGAGGATAATAGCTTCCAGCTTCATCCATGTCCCTGCAAAGGACATGATCTCATTTCTTTTTATGGCTGCAAAGTATACCATGGTGTATATGTACCACATTTTCTTTATCCAGTCTATCACTGATGGGCATTTGGGTTAATTCCAACATCTTTGCTATTGTGAATAGTGCTGGAATGAACATAAGAATGCACATTTTTCAGATATTCCTGAAAAGTCCTGATTTCATATATTCTGTCTCAATGTCAGATATGTCATGCCAGAGGCTTTGAAAACTATTATTACATTTGTTCCTTATTATCACTGAAGGTAAGCAGAAAATTTCTTAATAACCCTCATTTTGCAAACGAGAAAGGACTATGCTCAGAGATTTAAGATCATGTAACAAAGCCAGAAGTAGAACTTCAGACTCCTGGTATACATTCTTTCCGAGCATGCTCTGCTACCTTCTGTTGAGTGAAATAATTCACAACCAAGTAATTTAAGATGACCACACGTTTTTTGATTTGTGAATGAAAGTTTATTAGGTAAAGTCTCTTAAAAGAAAACAATAAAATGGTTTAGATCAATAGCTAATAAGGATTATAAACAATCATAAGATAATAACTAGCAGTAATCATCACATATAAGAATTTACATAGGCACAACTCCCCACATATTTTAGCCCAAGCAAATAGAGATGAAGACTTGAACTACCTAATCCACTGCCATCTACCAGCCTATCTTCCTTGATTTTCACACCTTTAAGCTTGTCTCAGAATGGTAAGGACCTCTTTTTTTTTTTTTTTTTTTTTTTTTTGAGACTGAGTCTTGCTCTGTCACTCAGGCTGGAGTGCAGTGGCGCAATCTCGGCCCACTGCAGCCTCTGCCCGCCGGGTTCCAGTGATTATCCTGCCTCAGCCTCCTGGGTAGCTGGGATTACAGGTGTCTGCCACCATGCCCAGCTAATTTTGGTATTTTTAATAGAAATGGGGTTTCACCATGTTGGCCAGGGTGGTCTCAAACTCCTGATCTCAAGTGACCTGTCCGCCTTGGCCTCCCAAAGTGCTGGGATTACAGGCATGGGCCACCATGCCCGGCCTCTTTTTCCTTCCATGCTACATAATAATTGGCTTTGGCATTGATTTTAAGAAGATACAGAAAAGGGCTAATTTGCATAAAGGACCAGCCACTCTCTCCATTCTCCTGGACGAGATTCAGGATTTCATTCAGAGGTATCCAATAAGTGGACTAAACTGGTTAATTATTCTCCACCTAATTGAGCTTTCAGATACATGACTTACGGCAATCGCCTATCAGCTAGCTATTTATAGCAACATCTTAGGGCTGGATAATTTGCATAAGATAAAAACAGGGCTTTGTTCATAAACCTATTTAAAAACTAACTCCATATCATGGCTTTCCACCATAAACAGTTGCATAGCTGTTGACAATTTATTAATTTGCTTCTCTCTCCTGAAAACACCTTCCCCACTAGTTCTTGTTCCAAAGTATTTTCTTATTTCCTAAACATTTCTTTTCACTATTAACTCTAATTCTGTTCCCTAGAGCAAACGTACTTAATACAACAATCCATTTCTTGGAGCAGGGGTTATATCTTAACAATCCTTAAGCACATCCAATTATAGAATCAAAGCAAACACTGGAATATATCTTATCTAGTTCCTGAGGTGCCATTACAGTACAAACTTTCCAGGTAATCCAGGCAAAGAAGGGGTCAGCCAGCTCCACATATTATGAGGTTGTAGCATCTCCCTGCTTTGATGCCTAAAGACTATATTAAACATTACTCGTCTTACAGGCTGGTTCAAATCTTTGTCCTGTTTCAAGATCTAGAGTAGCCTCACGAATTTCTCTTGATATAGTTTCATGACCTCCTTGAGTTAGTATGGTTGCTTGTGTTCTCTTATAATACACTAACAGTTTTAACAAGCTCACATTAATCTGTTATGGGATTGTTGTAAAGTCCATATTCTAAAATTCCACTTGGAGGAATAGTTACCCTTTGGGATCTATCATGTTTAAGAGCACCAGGTCTGTCCTGCTACAGTTAAATTGCTCACCAAATAAAATTTGTAGCAGACTGGTGGCTTATCCTTGGATATGTTCTCAGATCTTGTCCAGGTATTTATGCTTTGAGTTTTATTTTGACACAAAATTATAGCCCAGTTTCCTAAAGTCCAAATTCCCTGTGGGGAGTGTGTATCTTTCCTGGCTGTTTTTGAAGCTATAATTAAAGCAATGATTCCTTTAATGTTTAACTTTTATCCAGTTCCCCTATTTTTATTGTTATTTACTAAATGTCTAAATTTTCTTGTTAAACTACTATCACTAAGCTTCCTAGTAGGGCTGTTCCTAATGGAATGGAGTGATAAACTGTTTCACCTTGCTTTCCCACTACTCTATTTAGGTTAATTTGGCATAGTCCCTTTATACTGCATCAATTATTTGCCATTTTGTACATAACTGCTTATCTAGAGTCCTCTGTACTGGGAAAACAAGATAGTAAGGTTCAGTTTGTCCAGTTATTGTGTCAGTAAAATCCCTAAATCTGCTATCCCATGTGGATTTTAATTATCCACAGTTGTTCTATGATGTAATTTTTATTTTTCCTATTTGTGTTTTCATGTGCTCCTCTAAGTCTCCTGAATCCTCATCTACTTTTATCAATCCTTTCACATAGCAGTCTATTTTTGAAAGTTCTCATATTAATATGTTGAATAGTTCCACAAATTCTGATTTTCAAAGGTTAGCTCTGAAGTCATCTGTGTTAAATGTCATTTTAATTATTTTGACTATAATATGCTTTAGGTCTTTATATGAATTGGTATAATCTGATTTCCACCAGTGTGGATTTCCTTCTACAAGTCATTTCTTTGCAGTTTGCATGTAATACATTGTCTAGTGGTATATCTTTATATCTTTACCTAGTTTTTGCCCATGGCATGAGATGCAATGGTCATTCTCTAGGAAGGAGGGCCATAGTGTCCATGGGCTTGTCTGAAAGGTAGCTATTTTTACAAATAGAAATGAGGGTACAGTATGGCATGCAATTGGTATGGTCAGTAAATTTCCTGCATATTTATTTGGTCCCTCTCTGTTTTGCTGTGGGGGTCCTTCAACTATTGCATTTTCCCCTTCTGGCATATGCAAAATTATTGTGGCTAAATACCAACCCATGTTTTATTTAAATTCGTTATTGCTTCTATCTCTGAACAGTAACTATTTCTAGGTTGAGGCTGCAGCAGATTCACTGTAATAAGCCTATTAACTATTCTTTATAAGTTCAGCTATATTGAAGAAGATATATTTTATCCACATCCACTATGGGCCACATCTAGGCTAATATGGTGAGTGTTTGTCTTTCCATTGGTGAATAGTCCTTGTAGGGCTTTGCTTAGCCCTTCTATTATTTCTCTTTTCGGTTATTTGGTATAGTGTGCCATTTCCATTTGGAGAATAATAGTGTAAAGTAGCTGCAATGTGGTCAGAATTTGCAAGAACAGTCTTGCATTGGAACTCTTGGTCCCAGCTTTTGCAGTTTTCTCCTTGGCAACAGTCATTCAAAAACCTTTCTGCAGTTTTGTTATACTGTAGATAGTACTCTTTTAAAATTACCTCCCTTAGTCTACTTTAGCATTTTTTGTTGGACACATTCTCTCTTATAGGATAAGTAAGGAATTATATCATTTCAAATAAAAGTATCTCAACACTGTCCTGTTAATGTGAATGTATTCATTTACTTTACGGTAAATGCTACGATGGGGGATAGTTCCCATTTGATTTCCATTCATTGTAGACCAGAGAAATTAGTCCTAAGATGTGATAGAGTTCATCTTTTCTCCACTCCATAGTTAGATAAGGAATTTATTTTCTATTGTTTGCTCCTGTCATCAGAAATTTGAGCATTAGAGTAAGTACCGGTAAAGGGAGACCTACATGGCAAAAGCCAGAATTTTTTGAATAACAACAAAGAGGAAAATAGACCAGCCTTTGCTGGAAGTAACCAAATCTTACTTGTTATATGGGTTATTAATGATGAACATATGCAGAATTATGAGAAAATACATATTGCTAATATACAGAAAATAAGAATATAGAATATATTAAAACAGAGAAATGATCAGTTTTCACATGCCGGTGGGGGAAAATTGGATCTTAGCCACTTGTTAAGTCATCATTTATATCACAGACTGTATCTTCATATAAGCTATCCATTTCTAACATAGCCTGATCTACATCAAACATTAGGTCTTCATCCTCTGTTGGTGTAAGTATTGAGTCTAAGTCTGAGAGATTAGGGAGATCTGGTGCTGAAGCCTCCTCAGGAGGAGGTGCATCTGCTTCTATCTCTTCTGCTCTACCATTTTCTTCTACATGAGGAACTTCTTGTTGTTGTATAATGAATTGTAAAAGCTCATTAGCTATTCTTATTAACTGGGCTACACAAGCAACAAGTCCATCCATGAGTACGGGAACTGATGTGGAATCCATGCCTCAGTGCTCTTATCAATAGATAAAATATCACTAAAAGCTCTAGCAAATAGACACTTGGTGACAACAGATAGTACAGGGGCTAACAATGGTTCTGTGGTTGGTTTAGACCAGAAATTAGGGTGTGTATATAATTATGATGGTGATCAAGTACAGAACAAGAACAGTGGAACAATATAACTTTTTGATGATGTTGGTAAACTGTGCACAGAATTAATATATGGTACTCTTGTTTGTACTAATGGTGAACTGCTATTATAATAACCATCAGGCAGACTGTCACAGCCAAGAGAAAACAGCAAAGCAGACCTAATAATAAAAAAGATAAATATGAAGATTAGTATCCTTGAGTCTTTATCCATCCTACAGGCTATGGCCACAGGTTACTCCTATCAAGAATTGCTGTTAAGGTTGAAAGGATATGCCTAACTATAGCCCCTCCTTTGTTGCTGGCTTTGTGAGGATCTACTACTCTTTCCTTTGAATACCTCATGGTCTTCATCACTTGTTAAGAGATTTGGGAGAAAAGTGAGCATAGGTAGTTTGTCTCTCTTGAACATCTCTTTTGAGGAAGGATACAATTAACTCTGTCTTAATTAGCAAATTTGCTTTGTTGCCATTTATATCTGGTACTATTGAATTCTCTCTGTGTTTTTAGAAATTCATTCATTAAAGTTTCCAGTTGCCCCACAGCCTGGGGAGTATATGGTAAATAAAAGTCTCACATTCTCTGTATTTTGCCAAATTTTGGACAATTTCAGTTATAAGATTAGTTCCTTGATAATTTCCTATTACTGACCCTCTTCCATATCTAGCAACTAGTATCTCCAACTTTATCTAAAGCCATGGTTGCACTGTTTTCATCTGCATATCTGGTGGCCTCTGCAAACCCACTATCTGAGTAAGTATATACTTGTTTAAAGCAATATTATTTGTTTGAAAATGTAGATATTGGCTCAATATAATCTACCTGCTATGTTCGCCTGGTTTACCACTCCTCACCACACTTAAAATGAATCCATTGAGGATACAAGAAGTTTTTAGCATTTTGTCATATCTCATACTTCTTACTTGTTTATTTGAGTCATTGTTTTTTAACTCTTTAGTCTCTGCTAACCTGGTACATACATGCCCATATGCCCTGAGATTTCACAAGCCCATTCTACAACCTTAAATTGCACTGACAAGGGAGCCAAGTAGAGTCCCCAAAGCTTCAGGGTCTACATTAGTTTTGGGGACCTAGATTATCTCCCCTCTCATTCCAAATAGATTATTCTTCTTTTCCAATCTGATAAGCTGATACGTGTTTTACAAGCATTTCTAAACTCCTTTAACCAGTTTAGTTTCATATATCCCTTCACCAGATTGTTTTTCCTGCAATAGTCCAGGTCTACATGGTTGATAAGTGTAGCTATATACCTTTGGCCAGTTTCTTTTCCCTTGGGTATATCTGTATGTTAAATTTCTGGCTATTAGTTCTGTAAATTGGGCTGATTTTCTTTCTCCAGCCCCAGTCAGGCTTTTCCTAGTTGAAAGTCTTAGGAAGCAGTCATCTATATCACTCCTTTAGGATTCTCCCAAGTCTATTATTGCCCAGTTTTCAGCAATTCTGACCAGAGTGGGGTCCAGCAAGCCACAGGCTTTACTTTCAGCTGACTGTAATCCTTGGATATTTATCGGAGTACAGAAAATCATCAGCCAGATGGCCTGTGATTTGCACATAGAGCTTGCTGGTCTCCACAGGGCCTTTTTTGACCCACTTAGTTGTATACTATGTCCACTTAGCATAAATCCTGTCAGATCACTACATTTTTTTTTTCTCCAAAATCCTACAAGTAGACATAAGGTTTGCTCTGATGATAAGGGTCACAACCATAATGACCAGAAGGCATGATTTTGTTGGAGGCAACTTTCCATATGAAATATAGAAGAATGGGTACTAGAGGCAGAACAGTTTGTTTTATTAATTCAAAAGATCTGTTTGTTTGATTTAAGAGAAACACGTCTCATGGAAGGAAATATGGAGAGAAATCAAGGAAAGGAATTTGACATTTATGTAGAACACGCATCAGCTCATCAGAAGGAAAACACGGAAATAAGATGTGTATTAAATATTGTTAGGGAGCACCATCACATTTTTCAAAGGAAGCAATAACCTATTACTATATGGTATTCGCAGCCCAAAGGCACAAGAAGTTTGCAGGAACACACTCACACAAAATCTATTTAACTTCTGACTTCCCATTCACCCAGTTTTTTTTTTTTTTTTTTTTTTTTTCCTCAGCTTCTCTATCTTCTTCTGGGAATCTTTTATTCCTCCTCTTTGTCAATATGCTTCCGTTTATTCACCTATGTGGTTCATTCTATTTCACACCCTCTCTATCTCCATCTTTTCTTACTCTTTGCCATAATCTTTACTTGTATCTCTCTCCTAAAACTGGGAAAAGTTTGGAATAAATTATATTAGAATCATCAAATTTTTATTATATTTATTGAGTTATACATTACACAACCTAAATATAAAAAACAAAGAGGTAGAACATTCCATATTTTGTTCTCTTATAAGAGAAGTGTAGTTACTTATTACTTTATGTGGCCCTTGATTTATTTGCAGGGCAGGGGACTCAGTCACTTTTGATGGGAAAAATAATTACTGACCTTGCCTTAACTTTGTTGACCCATTTATTAGTTGATCTATCATTTTTATTCTCAAACCATCTCAGAACTTAGCAACTAGGGGGCGAAGACAGGGCAAGGAGAAACTTGAAGAAACTGCTAAGTATTCCAATAATGAGAAAGAGTAACAGTGTAGCATCAGCTTATGACAGTTACAGTAATTTCCAAAGCAACCAGCTCTGGACACCTTGGTTAGCCTAAAGGAGTATTTGGAATAGTTTATGCCTAGCCCCAGCTCACTTTAAGGGACTTTTTAAATTAGTTATATCCTCTGCCTGGGATCCTTTTCTCCTTGCTGGGGGAGGAGGGAGTAATGACTTCGTGTCATTCTGATATCTAATATAATAACCTCCTCAGATTTCTTACCCCTCAACCTGAGTAAAGCCCCAATCATCCCTTTCCCAGGATGTACAAATTTCATTTTTGCATGATGGTACCTAGCTATAACTAGCTCATATTTTCTTGTTTAATTATTTGTTCTTCTGTCTCTCACCTTACCCCACATACATATAGACTAAAATGTAATTGTCATGAGACTAAGAAATTTGTCTGTTTTGTTTTCTGCTATATCCCCAAGGAACAGAAGAGTGCTTACCAGCGTAGTATGTAATCAGTAAATGTCCTTGAATAAAGGAAATAATGGAAGAAGAGAGGGAGGAACAACTTTCAGCTCATTCATTCAGTAAATATTATCAAGCTTCAACCATGCATGTGAAAAACAGGGGGTATAAAGATGAACCAACTCATCAAAACATACAGTTAATAAAATGAACAGGCAACTCAGAGACTGAGAGAAAATATTCACAAAACATATATCTGACAATGAACTTTCAACCAGAATATGTACAGTATATTGCTTTATAACACTATATACTTTATATATAAATATATAAAGTATATTTCTTTATAATACCATATACTTTATATATAAATATATAAAGTATATTATATAAAAACTATATTTTATACATTTATATATTATAATATTTTACATATATGCTTTATATATTCTGGTTGAGAGAATATATACTTTATATATTCTGGTTAAATTTCATTGTCAGATATATATGTGTGTGTGTGCATGTGTGTGTGTGTGTGTGTGTGTATGTTTATCTATATATATATATATATACATACATATATATATAAAGAACCCCTACAACTCAATAATAAAAAGACAAACAATCCAACTTAAAAGTGGTCAAAAGAGCTGAAGAGACAATTCAAGTAAAGAGCTAACAAGCACATGAAATCATCCTTAACATCATTAGTAATTGGGGAAATACAAATCGGCATCACACTAAGATCCCACAATACACTCAGTAGATTAGCTAAAATTAAAGACTGACAACACCAAATATTGACAAAGATATAGAGGAACCAGAATTCTTACACACATTTATAGTACTGGTAGGAGTATAAAATAGTATTATGTTTTTGTAAAAATATCAATCAATTTCCTATAAAACTACACATTCACCTATCTATATCCCAGCAATTCCACTCCTAGGTATTTACCCAAGAGAAATGAAAGTTCACAAAGTGACATTTACAAGGATGGCAATAGAAGTTGTATGCATAATCACCAAAAAGTAGAAATAGCTCAGGTATCTATCAAGAAGAGAATGAATAAGCAAATTATGGTATAGTCAGACAATGTGATACTAATCAGCAATAAAAAGAAAGGCACCACTGACAGGGACAACAACATGGATGAATAATCAACATTATACTTAATGAAAGAAGCCAGACACAAAAGATTACATGCTGTTTGATTCCATTCATACACAATTTTAGAAAGTGCAAAATAATCTACATAGAAAAAAATTCAGAATAGCAGTTGCATTTACCAAAGTAGGAATTGAGTGGGAAGGGGCATAAAGGAACTTTCTAGAGTGATGGTAATGATCATGTTTAGATAAGGTTGTCAGTTACACAGGAGTATGCATGTGTCAAAACTCATTGAATGGTACTCTAAAGATTTGTACATTTCACTATATGAAAATTTTACTGCCCTCAAAAAAGTAACCAAGCACAATCCCCAGCCTCTGAAAGCATATGCCAGATTTGATGATGTGCCCATAAAAATTTTTCTAATAAATTATCACATTTATGGGAGACCTATTATGTATAAAGGACTGTAAATCCCACTTTTCTTATATTACAGATTGAGTATCCCTTATCCAAAATGGTTGGGACCAAAAGTGTTTCAGATTTCAGATTTTGGAGTATTTGCACATACATAATGAGATATCTTAGGAATGAGACCCAAGTCTAAACATGAAATTCATTTATGCTTCATAAACACCTTATACACAAAGCCTGAAGGCAATTATATAGAATATGTTTAATAATCTTGTGCACTAAACAAAAT